TTTCCTCTGCCTTCAGCAGGCACCTCAGCTGGTCGTGGTTCTTGACTCGATGGGGTGATGCAAAATTTCATTCCCAGAGGCTATTCTGGGCTATTAGCGGAACTGTTTGGACTGTCGGGTCGACCTTGGTTTGTCGTGGCCTTGGCCCATGTTGCTGAGTCCATGCATATCTCTGTCACTGTCAACATTGCCACTTGGTTTGTGAGACCATTGGATGAAGACAGAGGTGGCTGGGGAAGGATGCTGCCTGGAATCCACAGAATGGGCCATCCTATCCACTTGATTATTAAAATTCTCCTCTGCTGAGGTCACACATTGGTGAACATTCACATTGGACGCAAATATCTTCACGTAATTTTTGCCCTTTCAGAGAGGTCTATCCACGTACCTCTTCCCAAATTTATTTATTTAAATTAATTTTTTATTGGAGTATAGTTGATTTACAATGTTGCGTTATTGATAGTTTCTGCTGTACAGCAAAGTAAATCAGCCATACGTATACATATATCCACTCTTTTTTAGATTATTTTTGCATATAGGTCATTACAGAGCACCAAATAGAGTTCCCTGTGTTATACAGTAGGTTCTTATTAGTTATCTTTTATATATAGTAGTGTGTATATGTCAATCTCAGTCTCCCAGTTTATCCCCCCCTTTCCTTCTTGGTAACCGTAAGTTTGTTTTCTATTAATACATCTGTGACTTAATTTCTGTTTTGTAAATATGTTCATTTGTACCATATTTTCTAGATTCCACATATAAGCGATATCATATGATGTTTGTCTTTCTTGGTCTGACTTATTTCACTCAGTATGACAATCTCTAGATCCATCAATGTTGCAAATTTATTTTTTCACCAACTTTCCATCACACTCCTTCCAAGTCCGTGACCATCCAGCCAAACCAATGACTCGATATATAATCGCACGTCGGGCCATTTCTCCCTCCAGAATGCACAGCCAGGTGCACTGTTGGAGGGTCTGCCTGTGGGGAGGGTTTCCTTTCACCGTGTCCTTCAAGGACGTCCCGGAGAGGGGCTGTCATGCTGCAGCTGTCCACTTCTGTGCACTTTGATGTATGTGCCTTGGTGGGTCAGACACCACCCAGTTCATGGTGGGCAGTTCAGGCCACACGGTAACTATATTCGGGATCTGGAGAAATAACCACAGAATGGATTCGGGAGCCCATGGGAGCCACTGTGAGACAGACCTGAGAAGAAATTCCATTGATCACCCCATCTCCACAAGCCCCTTCTCTGGAGGCCACAGTGGTGTTTGGGGGTCCCAGAATCAATATCAGTTCAGGGCCAGCATCCCCCAGTCCCTGAAAATCTGATCCTTTTGTTTTTCCCCGTACACAGTTACCCTGATAGTAGGCTATTGGTCCCTTTGGGGAAGACTGGGAGAAAGATCACAGTGTACCTTTTTGATAGTGTGCTAGGGTCCTTCCTCAAGGGCACTCAGCCTCTGCTTCATTCATGGGGTTCTGGGTCTGTAAACTGCTCAAGGCTAGGAATTAACCGAGGGGCCGTGACTCTCTATTTTTATGATTTTAGTTAGACTTTTGTTCACTTGACCCAGAAGGTTTTCTGACCAAGTAGGAATTTAGCAGTCTTCCCACCTTTTTCACTTTTAGAAACACCACGATGAACAAGCCATGACATAGATCTGTACGCGTCACACTCTTCTCATGGCTGCTGTGACTCCGCTGTGACAGTAGCCTTGCCCTTGGCAGGCGAGGGCTGCCCCTAGGCCCCTGCCACCCAGGATCCAATTCCTCTCATTGTGTTTAGGATTTCCAGCTAAGGGGCTGCAGTTCCCATTATAAGGTCTGGCCTAGACAAGGGTGAGCACAGAGTTCTTCAAGGATGCTGGGGTTCCCCTCACAGATTTGTTTCTTAAAGTGTTGGTGAGAAGCGCGTCTTCTAGACCCTCCCGGAGTGGGTAGCAGGTCTTAAAACACAAATCCACTCTAACATTACAAACTCCCTACCTTTTGTCTCCAGGCAGGTCTGACTTCTCTAGTTCACTCACTAGAGGCCATCTTGGATTTTGCTTCCACCAACCAACCCTCAAACTGCTGAGGCTCTTTCTACCTCCCCGAGCTGCAGGGTACATGAAACGCAGAGTCTCTGTGGAGTGAGCCCAGATCACAAATCCAGCTGACCCAGCTTGATGTTTCTCCCACCACTGCCCCCCACCCTCGAATCCCTTCCCAGCGTGTTCTGGGGATTTCTGTCTGTGTGAATTAGGAGAATCAAGCAGTTCTTGGAGTGCAGTGCCCCTCTCGAGGCTCACACTCTATTCTCACCTTAGGAAACTGCTGGGACCCGAGTCTAATTGTTGGTCCAGAAGCAAAGAGGGGCAATGGGGGCGAGGGGTCCTGAGGAGAATCAGCACAGCCTCACGTGGCAGCTTCCTCAGGGCAGCCGTGACCTTTTCCTTGGGCAATGCAGGGTCAATCGCCCCAGACAGATGTGGAAAGACCTGTACCGCTGAGGGTGGGGAGGCGCCTTCCACAGGCAAAGAAGACACATGAGAATTGAGGGGCTCAATGTCCCCAGGTGTCTCAGGTCCTCCCACACATCCCCACCCAAGCTGCAGGATCCGGTTCTTTCCCAACCACCTTCTTCACTACAAGGCTGGGACTCAACTTTGCTGGAATGTAGCCAATTGAAGGAGGAGGGTCTGGGTTGGATTTTCAGCTAGTTCAGTCCAGGTGCTGCACGAGATGAGGCTCTCCTCCAGGGCACTCCGGAAACCTCGCATGTCACTTGTGCGGCCCTTGGGATGGGATCTTGAATCACTAAGCTCATCTTTTTCTCTCCCTACTCTNATCACTAAGCTCATCTTTTTCTCTCCCTACTCTATCCAGCAACATTCTGAGCAGATACCAACGTCATGATATTCTGTAGGGTTCCCAAAACGTTCCAAAATATCATATACAGGGTCACTTAGCTCCTCGATTCTTACAAGTGGTTGCTTACAAGAATCCAAGGCAGGCATTTTTCTCATTCCAATGAACAGTTCATGACATACACTAGCTGTGCTCTCTGTACTAATGGAAATATCCATTAGCGCCATTCAATCAAATCAGATTAGACAGCCAATTCCAGAAACCTTAGAATCAATTAAGAAAAATCATCCTTAAAAATCTACTCCTCATGAACCACTCCGGGTACCAAAATCATGATTAGTCAGGTTGTTCCAGAGAAACAGGAAAAAAAAAATAATTTATTGTAGGAATTGATTCACACCATTATGGAGGCTGAAGGTGTCTCATAATCTATCAGCAAGCTTCAGAACCAGGAAAGCCAGTGATATAATTCAATCTGAGTCAGATGCCTGTGATTCGGGGGCCTAGGATGTAAGTCCTGGGCTAAGTTTGAAAGCTGAAGAAGCAGTGCCAATGTCCAGGGTCAGAAGAAGGTGAAGCCTCTGATGACAAGGAGAGAGCAAACGTTCCCTTCCTCCCCCTTTTTTTCTATTCAAGCTCTCAACTCAAAAATGATGCCCAGTGCACTGTAGCAGTGATCTTCTCTACTCAGTCTGTGGACTCAAATGCCAATGTCCTCCTCATGAGACATCTTCATAGACACCAAGAAATAATGTTTTAACCGCAGTATGGGCATCTCTTATAACATGCAAATAGACACATAAAATTAACCCTCACACTGCTGTGGAAGAGCTGGAAAGAGTGGCACATCACACAGGATGAGGAAGTGGTTACAATCCCAAGACAATAACGCCAAGATCATATTTCCCACCACCTTCACTGTAGGCAGAGGGAGGAGCTCAGAGACCACTGACCTCTCACGGTCGAGCTGCATGAGGCTGGCAGCTCAGGCAGGAGAAGCATCTCCAGAGCAATAGGGAGACTGTGGACTCAGGGACGTTTTGGTCTCACTTCCCCATGACCTTGGACCACTGTGCAAACTGCTACTACTTGTACCTGAGCTACAGTAATAATCGGCCTCGTCCCCAGCCTGGAGCCCAGAGATGGTCAGGGAGACCGTGTTGCCAGACTTGGAGCCAGAGAAGCGATCAGGGATCCCTGAAGGCCGTTTATTGACCTGATAAATCAAGGTTTTGGGGGCCGTGCCCGGGCGCTGTTGTTAAGAGCTAACATAACTGCTACCCCTGCTATCACTGCTGGTTCCAGCATAAGAGATGGGTGACCATCTCTCCCGGATTCCCAGACACTGAGGGAGGCTGAGTCAAGGCGCAATGCGCCCAGTACCCTGGAAAGAGGAGAAACACACTCTGGTCAGTTCCGTACTAGACCCAGGTCACCCTGAGGACAAAGACCCAAAAAATCAGTCAGATGTCCTTGGGGTCCCTTCCCTGGAGGCCTCACCTGTGTCCTGAGTGAGGAGGGTGACAAGAAGCAGAGCCCAGGCCATGGCAGAGACGCCCCAGACGCTGCCTTCTGAGCCCCCAGCCCTGGGCCTGGTCCCCCAGACCTCTCTTATCCCCTCCCCCACAGAGGAGGGCGGTGCCTCCATGCAAATCAGCTTCCTGCACCTGCCCTTCCGCACCGCCTCTGCTGTGGCCCTTGATTCTGGGAACGTCTGAGTCCCCGGACAGCAGAGCTGCCTGAGAGATTAAAATGGACTGTCATGTATTTTCTGATTCAAGACAGGCTGAGAAGGCGACAGAGCCCAGAACATGGAGCCCAGCTGGCTGTGTCCTCTCCTCCTGTGGGGGGTCGTGGTGGATACAGAGGGAAGCAAGAACTCCCCTCCTTCTGCTGGACAAGGGGAGCAGGGCATCTATGCTGCGGAGGAGGGGACATCCAGTGACCCCTCTTCCAGGGACCCAGGCAGTGTCAGGGATACTTGCCTTGTCCCTCATGCCCTCCCCAGTCCCCTAGTCTAAGGTGCTAATGCATCACCCTCTCCGCTGCTCTGTGGTGGTTGAGGTTGGAGATGCTCCCTGGCATGTCCAGTAGAGTGATTATGGGATACGGGAGATATTGGACACCCCTTCCTCATGACCCCCTTAGGACTGGCTTGGAAGAAGCTGCTGGGCCTTTGGACAGGACAGGATGACAGCACAGACAACCTCCCCTAAATCTGGGCCCTGCTGCCTCCCGTTGGCCTCAGTGGTGAGAGCTGAGCCCAGGGAGACAGATGAGTGAGGGCTGGACACCCAGGCCTCCCCTCCCCCTCCCCAGCTCAGTGCCAGGCCCCCATGCCTGCAGACAAGCCTCACCTTCCCTCAACTTCCTCCAGAATGAGGTACATCACCTGCAAAATCAGGAAGCCAAAATGCCCCCCTTGGGGTCACCTTGCTCGTCCCAGGATGGCCTTGTCACATGGGAGGTGGACGTGGGCTCAGGGATGAGGGAACCTGAGACATAAATTAATCCAGTCCTGTTAGGGATGCAGATGAGAGAAACGGGCCCCCGAGAAGATGCCAGAATCCTTAAATATAGACAAAATAAGGATAACGTGAGACAGAGGGAGAGCTCCGTCCAGATAGAGAATGACCCAGGGAATCAAGGGGGAGATTCTGGGGCTGAGGCTCTGAAAGAGGGACCAGGTCAGGAGGGGCCTGGGGGTCCAGCTCTGGGTCTTCTCCACAGGAGGGGTCAGTTCTTGGGGACACGGACATTCTGTCTTCCCTTTGTGCCCTTGAGATGCCCTCACCTCAGAGCCTGGCACCTTCCTGAAGTAAAGGCTCATCATCACAGACACGCTTCCCCAAGGGTGTTTTTCCAGAAAGAGATGAGTTTGCAGTATATATTACACTCAGGATGACGGGTCCTTTCTGGTTGGAAATGGACATGACCCCTCAGGCAATGGACTAGGAGTTTATGGAACACGAATATTGTGATGAAGGATTTTAGTGTCACTGTTCATATCACACGACCACATTCCAGGAGCTAAGGAGGTGAGGCCCTGGCTGAGCTTGGGGTGGGTGAAGGGGAGCCTCTGGGGAAGGGAAAGGAAAGGTGTGCGGGGAAGTGTTAGCTCTGGATTTGAGACAATCGTTGGTGTGTGTTTCACAGAGGTATGTGCTGTACTTTGTAGACATTCGTTTAACGATGACTTTTTTTGAGATTATAATAAAGCGGGGACTGGTTCAGGACCTTCTCACAAGTCAATCAGTCAGGTTTCTGACACCAGGTCAGAACCCAGGGGTTTGGATCTTTATATCTGGGGA